ATAAGTGTGTGTTGTTTTAAGCCACTAGGTTTGTGTAATTGTTATGCAGCAATAGATAATTAATACAGTCAGGGTATGTGCTGGAGTATTGTCACAGAGAATTTTATGTGGAGTTGTAGTTTGTATTGGAAATTGAATAAGATTTTGATAGTATAGAGAATGGGGGAGGGGACTTTGAGGGAATATTGGGAGATAAAGTTAGTTTGAAAGAGTAGAATCTATTAGGAGGGCACTTAAAAATTCATTTATTCATTTATTCAACTAATATTGATTTAATACCAATCTTATGCCAAATACTTCTTTTGGGCAATGCTATACAGTATTGAGCAAAGACAAGCAATGCTTTTTGTAGCTTAAAATGTAATTGAGGGTGAGAGGGAGGTGACAATCAACAAACAAGTAAGCACAAGAGAACAATAAGAATTATACAGAAAATTAAAGCAGAATGGTGTGTTAGGGAGTGACTAGATGGCTACTGTAGATTAAGTGACAGGCATGACAGGCCTCTAGATTGTCCCCCACATCCATTCTCTCCCTCCTTCCTTTTAGTAATAGAATCCTCCAAGTTTTGACCAGGCAACTAGCTACCCAGGTAGCAACCCTATTTCCCAGCCCCCCTTGCAGCTGGGTGTGAACATCTGACTAAGTGAGCAGAAAATATGTTACGATTTCCAGACCTTGTTTTCATAAGGAAACTGTTTTTTTTCCACTTTCTCTTTTTCTGCTTTTTCCAGGCTGGAGTGTAGACAGTTGTGGGGCAGCTTCAATCATGTGAATTAAGATTGTACCCTATGGTAAGAACAGGCTAGAAAGAACCTGAATCCCTGAATGATCTCATGGAGCAGAGCTGCCCACTTACCTGTTACTACCTGCCTACCTCTGGCTGTTATGTGAGAGAGAAATAAACTTCAATCTTTTTTTGAGTTACTATATTTGGGGATCTCTTTGTTATAGTAGCTTAGCCTGTCCCCCACACTACAGGTGACCTCTCGCAAGAGGTGACATTTAAGCTAAGACCTAAGCGACAAGGATGAACAAGCCATACAAATGAAGAAGACCTAAAAAGGAGAAAGGTCAATACACCTGGGTCACAGGGTGTGAATGGTGGAGATGAGCTTGGAGGAGAAATAGTCCAGGACCAGATCATGGAGGCATTTGAAAGCCAAGGTAAGGAATTTTGATTTTAAGTGTGATGGGAAACCAATGGAGAATTTTAAAATATTAAAATGAGAAGTGTTATAATTGGATTTATATTTAAAAAATCACTCTAGCTGCTCTGTGGTAAATCATCTGAGAGGACCAAAGTGAAAGCAGAGAGACTGGTTAGAAAGCTACTGCAGTAGTCCAGGGGAAGCAATTTAAGTGCTCCAAACTAGGGTCGTGGCAGCAGTGAAGAGAGAAGATAACAAATTCTTGAAATGTTTTAGAAGTATCATCCACAAGGTGAATGATAGATTGGACGGGTAGGGACAGTGCAGGAGAGAGTGGAATCAAGGATGGCTTTGGGCTTGAGCAACTGCTATTTCATGAGATGGTTGCTGGGTGAAGGGTGGGCCATAAGGAAGCAAGAACAGAGGCAGAGAGGTCAGCCAGGGAGTTTGAGTTGAGGACAGCTAAGTTTTTTGTTTGTTTTTGTTTTTGTTTTTGTGGGGAGGAGCCAGATTTTGCTGTGAAAAGGAACAGCTCTCTTTTAGTCACATTAGCTTCAATATGCTTATTAGACATTCAAATAAAAATGTCAAGGATGCAAGTGTGCCAAAGGTCTGGAATTCAAAGGAGATGTCTGGGCTAGAGATATAGATTTCAAAGTCATTAAGTTATGGATGGTCATATGCCACGGACTGGGTGACATAAGTCACTTAGGGAGAACATGCACGTAGAGAAGGGGGCGGACGAGAAGCCAAGCACACTGCAGCGGTGGGAAGAATATGCAGATGTATAGGGAAAAACAAAAGAGAGGTGTTACAAAAGCCTGGAGCACAGTTTCGAGAAGGAAGGTGTAGTGAACTGTGTCACAAGCTATTGAAAGACTGAGTAAAATGAAGAGTGACACCATTCTTTGAACCATTGGCTTTGACAAGATGTGGGCCCTGAGAAGTGCCATTTCAGTCAAGCGGTAGGGAGAAATACCCATTTGGAGTGTTTGAAGAAGAGATAAGGAGGGCCGGCCCGTGGCTTAGCGGTTAAGCACGCGCACTCCGCTACTGGCAGCCCGGGGTTCAGATCCAGGGTGCGCACTGACACACCGCTTCTCCGGCCATGCTGAGGCCGCGTCCCACATACAGCAACTAGAAGGATGTGCAACTAGGACATACAACTATCTACTGGGGCTTTGGGGAAGAAAAAAAAAAGGAGGAGGATTTGCAATGGATGTTAGCTCAGAGTGGTTCTTCCTCAGCAAAAAGAGGAGGATTAGCATGAATGTTAGCTCAAGGCTGATCTCCCTCACAAAAAAAAAAAAAAAAAAAAAGAGATGAGGTGAAGACCAAAAGCATAGATGTGTCTTTATGTCTTCTGGGGGTTTTGCTGTGAAGGAGAGCAAAAAAATTGGGTGATAGCTGAAAGTGGAAGTGGGGTCAACTGTGGATTTTTTAAAGATTTAGGTAAGATCTCAATAGGAAGGATTACTAACGAGAATAAGGTGGAGGTGGGGTACAATTAGAGGTGACTTAAGAAGGCCTAGGGGATGGGAATCTTTTAAGTCCTTTAAGCAATCCTTTATGTTCAAAGTGCAAAATGTTCAATAAGCCGTTTTTTTTTAAGTGGGAAAGTGGGAAAAATGGTCGCTTTGATAGAAATGGGACTGATGATAAAGGCATGATGATATATATTTTGGACATGTTAAGTTTAGAGAAATATTTAAATAAGAATTTACTGACCAACTTAGTAAATAGTACAAGAGACTTGGAGCTTCAAGATACTAATGATGCTTAAGAAAAATAATATATTTTACAAAGGACCAGTCCAGTTGGTAGACACTATTTCAATTATCCTATATCAAATTAACAAGGACTTACCTTGCCAAGATTCCTGGCACTTTTATACTAACTTAAATTGCATTGGGGAAAAGCATAATAGTAATTGAAAAGCAACTAATTATAAGCAATTATAGGCCAAATTATGTTTATACCACAATTAGTGTTTGAGGTGGTTTAGTAGACTGAACCTTCACTTCAATAAGCAACCATCAAATAATTGAATAGCTTGTAAAACACAAATACTTCTTTTATCTTTATTCCAGGTATAACCACCACATTCTTTGAATTATTATTATTATAACATAAGCAACATTATCTTTTGTCCCAATCCCCAGTTTGAGTTGCATGCTTTTAAAAAACACGGCAGGAGTAGGACATGTACCTACAGGACAACATAGCTTCTTTCAACAGGTTTCATGGAGATATGTGAACAAATTCAGTTGTTGTTAGACAAGTACTACCCCGCAGGGAATCTGCAGTGCAAACTGAAACCGTGTCTTTTTTTTTTTTTTTAATGTGAGGAAGACCAGCCCTGAGCTAACATCTGATGCCAATCTTTCTCTTTTTTGCTGAGGAAGATTGGCCCTGGGCTAACATTGGTGCCCATCTTCCTCTGCTTTATATGGGACGCCACCACACAGCATGGCTTGACAAGCGGTGTCTCGGTGCGCACCGGGGATCCGAACCTGTGAACCCTGAGCCACCAAAGCAGAGCGACGCACTTGAACTGCTGAGCCACTGGGCAGGCCCCAAACCGTGTCTTTTTTATTAGGTTTTTCATGCTTACAACATCATCTTGTCTCACTTTTAGTTGAGGAAAGTCTAAGGGATGATAAGGAAAAGTCTTTTGTCTTGTGATAATTGTAATTTTTATGTCAGGTTGGGGTTTTTTCTTCTATATTTCTGAGTAAACGTCATAACTTTGTGACCACATTTTTGCCACCTTAGGTTAAACTGACTACGACTTGACAACTATTTTACACTTTACGTTGATTACCGAAATATTAGACTCATGGTTCTTTAAGCCACCACTAGTGATAGCTCTGGATCCCTGTGATATTAACTTCCATGTAAATTCTGAAGCACGTGAGATGATAGCACTGTAAATTTTGGAGGGGGGGGGCTTTCAGTTAGTTCATCAGTTTGAGAAAATTCAAAGAAAAATATTATCAAACAATTTCAGATTACGTTTAATAAATCAGTTTCTAGAAATAGTTTTGCAGAATAAATTCCCACCAGTTGACCTAATGGAGTACGGAGTTGCCAGTTCTTCACGGCAGCTGCCGCGCTCGGCCAACTCCGAGGCTTGGCGAGCCACATGGTGCGAGGTAGGTAGAGCCGGAGCCCTCCGCGGCTGGGCGCCACGTTGCTTTTCCCTTTTTAAATAGGGACACAACGCTTCTGGCTATTGTGTAAACGGGTCGAGAACTGCGTCCTTTCGCACATCAGCTAAGGCGTGAGCAGAATTAACGCGCCTTCTAATCCGACCCTCGGCAACATGTGTGTCCATGCACAGAAATGTTGAGTTTTAATGCCTGGCTTCGTTCGCCTTGGGGAGACACACTTTAGAAAATGGCCAAGTAGCCCGGCGATCGCGGTGAACTGCACAGGATCAAAACCACCACGCCAGCCCAGCAGTGGCCACCGCCCCCGCCGAACCCCGCCAACCCTCCAAAGGACCCACCCATGTCCTCTGCTAACCAGTTGTTTTATGCAGCTCTGCACAGCCTTTCCCTACTCCGTCCCCGCTCTTCCCACCCACTCTGCATTCGACTCTCGGCTCCTAGTACCCAGCCGGACAACACAGCGCCGTCTCCCGCCCAGGGGACAGCGCGAACCTGAACCGCACAGTGGCGGGCAGCTCCCCGCGCTCCCTGCAGGCCGACGGCCAGCCAGCCGCCACTCGGCGCCTGGTGATTGACAGGGGGCTGCAGCAATGGGCCGCAGGGGCGGGAGGCTGCGTCACTTCCTGGCCTTTCGGCGGAGATGGGGTATATAAGGTCGGTGCTCACGCAGCGCCCTCGCTTCCACAGTATGGCCGGCGACATTAGCTAGCGCTCGCTCTACTCTCTCTAACGGGGAAACAGCGGACTACAAGAGACTGAACTGTATCTGCCTCTATTTCCAACAGACTCACGTTCAACTTTCGCTCACAACAAAAAAAAGCCGGGAAAATTTTATTAATCCTTTTTTTTAAAAAAAAGTTAATATAAAATTATAGCAAAAAAAAAAAAAGGAACCTGAACTTTAGTAACACAGCTGGAACAATCCGCAGCGGCGGCGGCAGCGGCGGGAGAAGAGATTTAATTTAGTTGATTTTCTGTGGTTGTTGGTTGTTCGCTAGTCTCACGGTGATGGAAGCTGCACATTTTTTCGAAGGGACCGAGAAGCTGCTGGAGGTTTGGTTCTCCAGGCAGCAACCCGACGCCAACCAAGGATCTGGGGATCTCCGCACCATCCCAAGGTGAGTGCTTGGGGCTCTCGCCCACACTCGAGTCTGGGGGCTGTGGCCAACTGGCAGGGACCAGCCACGGGCGGGGTCGGGGGCCGGGTTCCCGCAGCCTTCAGGTGGGGCAGGTCCGTGGGCGGGGTCGTGTCGGCTGCTGTGGAGG